CTAGTAAGTGTCATGGAAACACAGCCCTGGGTAGTTCAATATGGACCCCAAGAGATTACAAAAGAAAATCCTTCAAAAAATAATGTGTTGAGATAAAATCTATAATACAGAAAAATCTGAATTTAAACTGTTGCTTAGTTTCAGTCTGCCTTTTCTTGTCAGAGTGTAGCCACTGATCTAAAAGGTAATCTTCCAACACAGCCACTTGACTGCTTTATCCAGCAGAACAAAGGAAGATGCCTACCCTTTTCCAGTCTTTAATATCTTTGGAATAAATTATACAAATTCATACTAAACTGTACAAATGCTGAAATATAGTTCTTGTCAAATAAAATTAATGATTAGATAATTGTACATCTAAAGGGAAAATCAATATGAAATTACTACAGAAATTCTTTATTTAGACTATATTCTACCACCTTAATTTGTATGTCTATGACTTTTAGACAAGTCACCTTTACGTTGTAAAATTTATGAAGAAGTGTTTTAATACATACTAGTAGCTCTGGTTCCTTGTACCATTTAATATGCCTTTACATGTATTCTGCCTGTAGTAAACAGTCAGATAAAACGTTTTCTCATAATTTCTTAAGACAAGATGTTCAATGAAAATCTTTCTGTCCTAATTTTGTTTACATTTTTTGTTACTTACTGGGTTAGCTGACTTATGTAGGATCAAATCCTTAGGTGGTGTAAATCAGAATGACTTCACTGATTTCTTGGATTGAACAATGTCCTATATGTTTATGCAAGTAAGACAATCTGGTGAGAGCTCATTGTTGCCCCGAAAAGGCACTCCCTTCCCTACACAGACAGCACTGTATTCATCCCTGCAGTAGAAAAGGCACTTCCCTCCCTGTAGCTGTGCCCTACACAGACAGCACTGTATTCATCCCTGCAGTCCGTGGTCTTGTTTTCTTATGCTTTGTGCCGAGAAGTCCATCGGTACCTACTCACTCCTGTGCTTCTCAAGGTCTATGTGCTTTCACAAGGCACAGATTACTTTAGAGAAACAATCACATGCTATGGTCCAAAAAGTGACCTGATTCAAATAGATTTTCCCCGTTTTATCTGACTCTGATTGCCTTAACATTTCCATTACAGGATGAACCCACTACTGGGATGGACCCTCAGTCCCGGCGTCTCCTGTGGGATTCTATTGTTGGTGTGCTCAGAGATGGGCGAGCAGTGGTTCTAACCTCACACAGGTAAAAACAGTTTGAATTCAGAATCTGAAAGCAGCTGAAGTACATCTGTTGGCTTTTATCTCACATATCTCTTCTCTGTTTTGAAAGTATGGAAGAATGTGAAGCCCTCTGTACTCGTTTAGCCATCATGGTACAAGGTACCTTCAAATGCCTAGGCACAATCCAGGAGCTAAAATACAAGTAAGTAGAATATTTTTATAGTGGTTTTTAGTGGGAAAATTTAGTGTATGTGACATGTACTATTCTTAATATAAGCAATTCAATGGTTAACCACACCTATTTCTGCATGCAGCTCTGTTGTATATTAGACAATCTGACCAGATCTCATTTCAACTCTATTATGCTACATACCACTTCTGCAAGGCAAATACCGAGCGTCCTAAAAAGCTGGATCTTATGCAATATCTTTCAGATACTGTTATTGTTTTCATAGCTGCAGAAAACTAATTTCTTTCCTGAATGATGAAACAACCTCTTCACCCAATTCCTAAATCCACACGCCCTTCCCAGGTTTGGAGATGGCTACATTGTCACTCTGAAAATCAAAGCTCCAAAGTCTGGGCTGCCTCCAGATCCTGCTCCTGCTGAGAAATTCATACGCATCAACTTCCCAGGGAGTTTCCAGAGAGAGAAACACTACAACATGCTGCAGTATCAGATTTGCTCTTCCTCTTTGGCTAAGATTTTCCGATTAATAATCTCCAATAAGGAAAATTTGCACATTGAAGAATATTCTGTGTCTCAAACAACATTAGATCAGGTGAGTAAAAAGTAAAACATCCATGAGAAAGCCTGTCTGGTGAGAATTAGGCAACATAATGGGGATGCATCCAAACAACTGAAGGACCAAATTGTTTAGAGAATTATCTCACAGCTCTTTCTCAGGCAAGATTCCCAGGCCTCTCATCAAGGAGGGTGTATCAGTATGAATCAGTAACTTATTCCCTGTGTAAGTAGGTGCCATGTGAAAGCTGGTAAGACAGCATTTCCCATATGACAGAATTCACACAACCCATTGCTTCAGGAGCAGCAGTCTGAGCAAGGTCAGCAATTTGGAATGAGACTGAGCTGAGAATAGCAGTTTATTTTAAATAAGAGGTTGGGACTGTGTTGTATCAAAGATACTGTGAGAAGCAATTAGACACACAAAACCTGCGAAGTCTACTGGGAGTTTTGAAAACACTCACTTGCTAAAGGGTATTGGCCCCATCTGTCTGCTTTGCTGAGTAACAAAGGGTCCACATATGCAAAGCTGTTTTCGGTGGGATTGCTAGAGAGGCATTTCTGGCTGCCTTTCAGCTTCCTACTAAAATATTCTGTCTCCTCTTTCCTATCACAACCAAATTCATGCTGTGCAAACCCTGTAAACCTGGCTGAAGCCATTACCTCCTTAAGAAAAAGTAGGATTTTACTTGCAAGCAAGTACATCCAAAGGAAGGAAGCTGCAAGGAAGTTTATCAAAATAAAGGAGGAACTCACGATCTCGGCTGATAACAGTGTCTCAGTTCAGCTGATGTCTGTGGATTCCCCTTTCTGTCTGTTTCCTGCAGAGCAGTCATTCCACTAACTCATCTCAGTTGAAGACATGGTGATGTTTTCTGCTTTCCTCACACAGGTTTTTGTGAACTTTGCTAAACAGCAGATGGAGGATGAGGAAATTACTTTGCATCCGCGTGCAGCTGGAGCCAGCCGAGAAGCCAGGGTGTCCCCAGCTCTCCATCAGCAGGCAGTTGCATAGATTGTTCCTGCAGCCTCCAGGCTTAGTGTGTGCACAGTGCATGTGCCATACCAGAGCAGAGCAAGGGTAAAACAAAGGTTTGCACACTCAGTATTACACTGATTTTTTTGCACCTTTCTGAGCACTGTGCTCTCAACAACAGCCCTAGTAACAGCCAACTTCTACTGCTCTACCAGTAACACTACATGCTGAGAGTGTCAAAGGAAAGGCAGGTCCTTGCTATAGAATAAAATCTTCCTCTAACATAAAGCCCATTATAAGATACAAGAGAAATCTCATTCCTCCTTGTTGACATACAAATAACATCAAAGATGGATTCTCTAGCTGGTACTTTCAGGCTGGCAGGTTTTTCTTCTTTAACCCTTATGTCAACTGCTGCAAGTCAGCAGAGAGATCCCAAGGCTGAGGGCAATGCCCAGCTTAGAAGCAGATTCCTGCTGTGTTGAGTGCATGGGACTATCAAGGTCAGAACAGTGCTGGCTGATGGGGCTAGTCCTGGGAGATTGCTTCACTGTCTCACCAGGCTGCCAGTGAAAACAGACGGTTGTCTCAGCAAGAATGAAAAGAATTAATTCAGAGCTCAGACCCAGACAAGAAACTTGCTCTTAAAAAAAATTAATTAAAATGATCTCATACTCATCTTCAAGTTGCCTCAAAGAGAGGCCAAATGTCAAAATGGAGATTAAAAAAAAGAGAGTATGACCAAATCTGCCAAAAGTTTTGTTTTCTTGCAGAGACATAGAAAGGTCTCTTTGTTACTAAAAAGGACCGATTTTTTCTTCTTTCCTGTGACTGGACATTAAGTGGGTGTAAAGTGTGAATAGGGTATGTGCTTTCTACCTCCTCAGAAGGAAAACTTCAACCTGCTTGTACTCCACACTGCACTTAGTGGGAAATCATCTGACATTCAGTTCTTTTTTTCTGATTCACAGTTTAACTAGTGGAACAACAATACTGAAAACAAATTCATAATGATGTTTTGCTTCAGTTATCTATCAGATCTAATAATTTCTAAGAAATCTTCTCTATGTTATACAGAATTAAAATCTGGGTCATGTATTTTTGCTTTGAAAGATATTTTTCTTCAATTGATGTAGATTTTTTTTTTATAAGGACACTCTTGCTTTTTACTGTACAAAATATTATGAAACTTCAGCAACCAGCTGTAGCCTTCTATTTTTGCCATAATTATTTCAAATGATTTTAAAATAGATTTTATTGCATATTTCACCCTTACAAATAGTTGCAAAAATCTTTCTATACATCTATTATAGATAAATAAATAAATTATGAAACAAAACAGTATCTATGCATTCTCTTCATATTCTAAAATAGCTTCTTTAAAATGTCATTCAGATAGATTTCAACAGCCTTTTTAAACTAGATTTACACAAAACCCAACTAAGTCCCACAGAACATCCTGTGACAAAGAAAACATAGGAAGTCTAAAATGAAGCTGATTTTTCTCCCTGGCTCCAAAAATAGGAAGAGCGTTCTGAGGACTAGCAGTCACTTCATGTATTAACAAAGTGTATTAAAAACTACTGAAAGAAGCCTGATGTAAAATGCTGGGTTAAAGGTCAATTAGTATCATAAGGAGATGTTATATCAAAACAGGCCAGATATCAGAGATATGGCATAGGTTAGATTGCTTCTGAATCTTATTTACTAGTATGCAACTACTAATGAGAAGACCAAAAGCAAACAAAAAACCCCAGCACAGGATATTACATTCACAAATACTGCAAATATTTCTTACTTAAGGTTCTTTTGGCAAATTAGGTATTAGACCCAAATCAGGTTTTTGAGATATGGCCTATTTCTTTATTCCAGGAACCATTCGTATTCTTTGGTAATGTTATCTGTTACAAAGCACCTGCCTCCAGGCAGCACACTCTCTTCAAGTCAAAGAAGGCAGATCATGCAACTGTCCTGAGGCCAGCTGGATTCTTTTGGCAAATTAGGTATTTGAGAGTATGATCAGGTTTTTGAGATATGGCCTATTTCTTTATTCCAGGAACCATTCATATTCTTTGGTAATGTTATCTGTTACAAAGCACCTGCCTCCAGGCAGCACACTCTCTTCAAGTCAAAGAAGGCAGATCATGCAACTGTCCTGAGGCCAGCTGGCCATGCTGGCTGAACTCAGCTCTGCAGTTAGCTGGTGTGTCTCGTTCCAGTGTACTTCTGTCTTGCAGAATGCCACTGCTAAATTTGGAGCTGCTTTTCAGCACAGACTTCTCAGGATCTCTGATCCATCAATCTAAACAGACTAGTACAGAAAAATCTAAGTCAGGTTACAGTGAACTGCAGGGACTTTTTTTTGCAGCTGTGCAACGAAGCCTTATCTGTTAAGGTGCTTCTGAGTTGAGAATTCTTGAATGTAAGGAAGTGTAGCTTTCAAGTGCATACAGTTTCCCTTAGCAGTGGAGATTCAACATGCGCCAAAATCCTTTTAATTAATTTATTTATTTGGCAGGACATTTATGAGGTTTTCTTCTTGAGGTTCTGTGCAATATTCAAATTGAGCCTTCTTTTCTTACAACAAAAAGGGAATAATTGGCATTCTATGACTTGGATAGTCCTTGAATTCTCTTAAGTAGGTGCAGTGTTTATCCTTTGCCCAGACTGTCATCTGAATGAAGCAAAGCAAGGTGAACAGTCCCACTAGAAGGAAGGGGAAAAAAAAGATACATTCATTATCAGATTAAAAACATGCTCTTGCTGCTGACATCACTTCAGGTTGAAGTACCAAAGCATTACTCACCTGGAACACACTGAGTCATGATAGTGAAACTGATCCAGGTCCCCACCTGTTTTGGCCAAGGAAATTTAAAATATTTCTGGTGACAGCATTTGCATTTATGTCTCTATTGATCAAAATAACCTTGTCCTAGTATAGGTAAATAAAAAAATCAAGGTCAGCCAGATCAATTTCTACTGTTAATGACCTTTAGTCAAAAAGGTGAACAGTGCCTTATTATCACAAACAAAACCTTCATATTTGCTTCCACAGCTATTACAATGACAAACTTTAAAGCATTAAAACAGTGTCCTTCCTGTTTCTCTGCCTAATTTGTATTCATCAGACCTCCATCACTATTAGCAATGGTAACTTTCTATAGCCCAAGGCCCAATGCTGTTCTCATGAACATGTGTTGATCTCCACTGAATTTCAAACCTGACACTGTCCTTCTGTGCAAGAATGAATGTTACACTGAGTTGCACTGACTTTATCTGCTTTTGAACTCAGTCAGGAGTTAGGTCCTTATTACGGAATATGAAATTATAAACTGATTAAAGTTTCTAAAGCAGTCACCACCAACACAAGTGATTGCGTAACTTAAAACAGGGAAGAAGACTTTGGCTCACTTTCTCTATCACAGTATCTTTCATTTGTCTGATCACCATCTTCCTGCCTGCAATGATATTTCTAGGCTCTTACATTATAAACCCACCAGACACCTCCATCCCCTCATTGCAGCACATGTTCAGTGACAATCTCCCTGTTCCTGGCTGCAGAATTTGCCCTGCTTTACAGTGTATGTCTTGTCTAGCAGCCACACGGAAGCACTGGCCCAGGGTCAGGGTTGTCTGTGTAAGGTTAGTCACATCACTACTGACCCAAGGGAGGGGAGGAACAGCAGACAAATTCTTGTCCACAACCTGATTTCATGGGGTTTAGGGAATGAGGGGAAATGTACTGAGCTGAATGGTTTCTGAGGTTTCTTCCATGTAAAACATTCTAAAAGAAACAAAAATATATTCAGTGAAACTAAAATCTGAACATCTTGTTTGAAAATACATACCTCATATGTATAGTTAGGGCAAGATACAAAGAAAAACAGCCATGTGAAAGGATTCTTTGTTGGATATGGGATCTTACAGGTTTTGGATCCTATAGATTAGAAAACAAATCACAAAATATTCACACTCCTAAATATATTGTTTCCTGTAAAGAAACCCAGCTCTGCCTACTTCTGTGTCTCATGACTGTCAGAGGGACAAAGAGGATGTGGGAAGACAGGATGTCCTCTGGACTCACAAGAGGAGTGGGATACCTGTGAGGGAACTTTCCCTTGCTCACCAAAACATAGCTTGTAGCAGCACTGTTTCCTTTTGCACTGGCAATATAACCAATGTAACTGCTCCCAACACAACCCAGCCCAAAACAATAAAGATTACGGTAAGATAAGTGTTGTTCAACAGTCTGATGTCAGAGTCCTTGCACTGTCTGATTTCCCTTAGAATCCAATCTTTACAGTGCTGAGCGTTCCCACAGCAGTCAGCTGACAGATATCATCACCCCCCAGGATCAGGTCTTTCCTGAAGCAGAGCAACTGAAGGAAGTACTGAACGGCTGCGCAAAACTGAAAAATGATGATGCAGTTTTTACCATTTCTCCGGAGGTCACTGAGTGCAACATGAATGGAAAAATTTCCAGCTTCACACAGCTGCAAGAAAAAGTATGACAGAGTTAAAAATGTTCTTCCCTTCTATTTGTTTTTCTTCCTTTTGTTATTTCCTGGGGTTCTTTAAAATATTTAAGAAAAGGAAAATCATCTATTATAAACATAATAAATATCCTTAACTAAGACTACTGACAGAAGGATGAAACATCTCCATTCAAATACGAGTCCATATTATATTCTGTTATATCTTTATTATATTTTTCAGAAACTGTGGACTCCATGTCCAAAGTATCAAATGTATTACTTACATAATCCCCTTGAAATCTAAATAAACCACAGGGGATAGAAGTGAACTCAGGGGATATTTGCTTTATTTTTTGATCATTCTTATGCCTTCAAAAACATCCAAAAAATTATTTGCATAGTCTTGGTTTCTCAAAAGTTATTAAAATCCCAAGGAAGATACAATTTGGTCTCTAAGTAAGTTTTGTTCTCTAGAGTATAATTGATATTAATAATGAAATATAATTGACCCAACTTCCTTCACTGGATTTAAAGAATGCTGCTCCAATCAATTAGGAAGAGAGTGTATTGAAATGATGCATTTATATGATCATGGACAGTCTCCAGTGTCTGCAATGCATAACTATTAGCAAATGACTAGTGGTCAGAGTTCCTGAGTTTTATTCCCAGCTCTGTGCTTTCAGTTATGGACTTTCTCTATAAAATGTGAGTAGATTATGACCTCACAGAATTTTCATCCAGAGAAGCTGCTTTGGAATTCTGCAGTCACTGATGATTAATTTGTCAAGGCAAGCGAGTAGCTGATGTTCTAAAGAAGTTACACATGCATAGGAAAATTCTTTATATGGAGGTACATCTTTACTGGCTACACTGACTTTGCTTCTGCATGTATGAAGTGTTCCTAGGAATTGTGAGAATGAACAGTGACTGAAAAATTTTGAATCATAAAGAAAGCTATGAACAGGTTTTGAAGCTCAGCAAAATGTGAGCTTCAAAACTTTATCACTGGAAATTATCAGCAACATAATCTCTTAGTTGGCAAGTTCTCTAAGATTTATGATCTGTTGTGATTCTTAACACTCAATAAACAGTTCACAAAACAAACTCACTGGCTTTTAAACATAAGGTCACAAACTTATAAAGATTATGAGAGATCATCCCAGCAGATAAATATCCTAGTCTTGGAATGGACACTGAACCAAAATATTCCTTTGTGTACAAAGTCATATTAAAAACTGACAGATTTATCTGTTTTGCATGCAAGTGGTCAGCTTTAGTAGTATATCCCAAATGTCCTAGTCATAAGGATCTGTTTATCCTACTCACTCCTCCATTTATATGACAGAAGAAGCAAGGTAAGATATTTTAGCATTTGATAGAAAAAGCAATAAACCTACCAGAAACATGATCACTGCAAAATTTATCTGTTTTTTCCCATAAGCTATTAAAAAAAAAGAGTTTGCAAGTCATTAGTACTAGTATACAAAGTACATACATAAATACTTAAATCATTGAGGGTTGTTCTGCTACTTACAAGGAGGAGTGTAAAGAGGATGATTGATGTAATATGCAAGCCAAGCTGCAAATCCCCAGTAATATAAGCAGTTCTGAAAAATAAGCAATTTTTCTTTGTTTTAATACAGTCTTTTAGGCCATTATTCGCTGCAAGGCAAATTGATGACAATGGATCAGGACAATCTTTCAACTTGCTGATAATACAACAAGAAATGGCAGTACTAAGTGTGGTAGGTGGGAGCAGGTAACAGGAAATAAGAAAGGAAATGGTACTAATAGAGTTAAGATTTCCTCTAAAATATCTTGGAGTTGTTATGTTTATAAACAGTTTTAGAAACTATCATATGACTGAAAACAAAATTATCTTGTCTAGCAATCCATTGGGCAAGGTTGAAGAGCATACAGACTGGATGTTAAAGAGAACCTTGTTTTGCTGACCTCTGAGACTGTAAGACCAGATTTGGGCACTGTCCTCTCAGGTTTATTATTTTGCACTGCCCAATCTCCTGTCCTCTTGTCCTTCACCCCATCAGTTTCTTTCTTTCCCATGCTTTGACTTTTCCTCCCTGATGCTTTCCTCTACACTTTCACTGTGATTTCTCTTGTTAGTCCCTTTTGCTGCTGTCCTTGTGTTTCTGTGGTGCAGTTTCCACTCTCTAAACTCTGATAACACAGCTGTCACTGATGGCTGTACCGACACATTCCTGACCACTCTCAGTGCTAGTATGTAGGCTTCATCCATGAAAAAACTACTTACAGTGACAACCTTTACCTCTTATTTTGCTTCCTTGGCCCAGCCTCCTGTGGGGTTTTTTCTGACAGTCATTGCTGCTTTGGTGTCTTGGTGACAGGCTATTGTCTCCCTCCTTATATATAGGTAGGGCCTATATATAGGCCCTTTCTTGGGCCCTTCCTCTGACCCCGAGCTGCCATTCTCTTGCAGACAGACTCAACCCTCAACAATTTGCCTCTCATCAGTTTAGTCTTCTTTTACCCAACCTAGTGCCTCAGTTTTTGTTGTATTAGGGTATGTTTGTTTATCACCTGGACTTCAGCAAGACCACAACTGAGCTCTTTATATTTTTTTCACCACTTCTTCTTTTCTTTGCCATATCTTTCCTTGCATCCTATTTTCAATTTTGAGCAAAACTCTGATCCTCTTACTCTTCCTGGTAAAGGTCCTCTTACCCTTTCTGGTCCTCCTTCTTTTTCTTGGCTATCCAAATAGTTTCCAGTAGCTTAGGCTTTCCTAGGTGTTTCTGCTTTCTCCTTCACCACTTCCCTTCCTGCTCATGCAGGCAAAAATCCCATCCAAGGCTGTTGTGCCTGGTTTAACTTTTTTTTTTCTTTGAATTTTGCAGTCTTTTCCCCCTGTATGTACCAGAACTGCATTTCTAGCAATAATACCCTGGAAAAGTGATTACCTCAGCGTCTCCAACCTGCACTAGCTGACTGCAGTGTCTGATGGTGCATTTTTCTGAAAATTCTGGTGCCCCCTCACCTGCTGCAAACAGCTGTATCAAACACTCAGTTGCATTTCCACTTACTTCTTAGGATTAATTGAAGCACTGCAGTGCCCAGAGACCTCAGACAAAATGGACACCCTTTTGGGTGTGCTGTAATACAAGCACTTAGTATGTCCTTGCTCTGAGATTGTGTAAGAGCTAACTGATGAAAAAGAGCAAATTATTAACCAGTAATTACAAATCAGGTGGGATGAATGAGCAGAAAAAATAAATAGCTTCCCTGTGACTACTTTATTTTCCCACAGGAAATGCAGCAGAACCAAAAGAATGACTCCAGTGAGGAACAGGATGAGTAGTGTCCTATCCATAAACTACTGCTTCCTCCCTAAAATTAGCTTCTTCAACAGGCACTTACAATTTACTGACTGCTGTACAAACTTAGGTGGAAACAGTTTCTTGTAATCTTGCAATGGCATCTGCAGAAAAACCTCCTAGCTTCAAGGCTTGGCACAGGATGGAACATATGGCAATGGATTTCAGTGAAGCAGAATTAAATAAATTAATTATCATGGCTCAGTCCCCAACAATACATGTTCTAATTAAACTGAACAAGTGCTAACCACCCAGAGAACATGATTTACTGCAAAGACTATTCCTCAGTTATCAGAAAAGGATCTTCAAGATGAGTGGGTTCTTCCACTGCTAAGGACCTTTCAGTAATGCTTGTAAATGTCCAGCTGCCACTTGAATCTGTATTCCTCATAACAATGCCTCCAGTGAGGTTCAAATAGGAACATACAGACTACATAAACTCACTTGGAGAAAAGAAAGAGTTTCTGTGAATCCTGAATATTAAAGCTTTATAACAGTCTCTTATAATGCTGCAGGTCAAGTTCAGATATTGCAGGGATCCCATAATTAGATTATTCCCAAGTTTCCAAACTTACAGTTAGGACTTTTGTCTTCTTTACTGCAATTGACAAGCCATAGTTCTTGATATCCTGCCTATGTTTCTTCATGACCAGCATGTACCCTTCTGTTTGTCTTCTTATATTGTCTTCTGGTTTAAATAGTATTTATTTAGTATTTAATGTTATCTTTCCTCCAGATGTTTTTCTACAAAGCGATGATATCCCTTCTTTTTACTCACAAAAATGTTCATGGGTAAAGAAAGACCATGTAAGACCAATCATGAGACTAACCTTTGAGGAATTCTTCTGGTGCTTCCTTATTATTAAAGGTCTGACTGATCCTTTTTTGGCACAGCCATAATTATCTTTCTTTCAATTATTTCCTTTATCACCACACAATTTTTGTATTAATCCCTATTTTACTCACCCTAAGGAGTTGTTTACTAGGTCCGGATAAATCAGGTATTCTACATTTCCAATGCCTAGAAAAATCACATCTTAGAAAAAATTATACTATGTTAGCATGCTCTGCTTTTGGTGAAGCTGCTGCATTGTAGGGCATAATTTATTCGTAGTTCCATTTGGGAAAAAGGGATGAAAATCCCATCTCTCATCAATTCCCATCTCAGATTTCTGCTTATTGAGACTGAAGTATCTCCTGTACACATAGCATTCCACTGCACTTAGGAAAGAAGCTATCTATATCTGCTGTGTATGTGATCAACCCTGAAAATACCAAAGTATCAAACCCTGTCTACTATGTCCTTGTCCATCTAGTATGTGATGGAAAAATAGAAAAAAAGATGCGATGTTTTTCACACTGGCACAATTCTGGAGTAACACCACCAAGGCCAATGAAATTATAAAAGCAAATCAAACCCAAGCATTGCTAAACAGGTAGATAAGAACTGTGAGCAACTTTACAGATGAAAACAAGTGCCTCCAACCTGAGAAGATGGAAAAGAAGAAGTGAGCAGAATGACTGGTACAAATGTTAATTTTAGCAACAAGAGTTTGTATGGTCTGAAAGGAACAAGTAGTTGTCAGAGATGGCAGTGAGAAAAATAATTATCACATTGATTGTTTTTTTCAAGGTAAAGTTGCTCATTTATCTGCTGTTTAGCATGCATTAGCTACTGTTGTGTCAAGAACAAGAGATCTACAAGATCTGTTGTGTCAAGAACAAGATCTGCAAACCTTTTAACAACTCTTGCTGCAGGAAGCACAAAAATTTCTAGGAAGGATTCTTTTGGAGGGCCACTGCTCCACTACAGACCCTCCTTTCCTGAAAGCTCTCACCTGAAGGAGCAGAGCCACTGGACAGCTGTAAGGAGTTAGCCACAAGGTAGAGCTTCAGCTGCTACAAGTATCACTGCCATAGTGCAAATTACCAGGAACTGCCTAAATCCCAAATGTTAAAATTCCCAAAAACTTTTTCAGTTGATAATTTCTGGTCTTCCTTAGAGTAAGTACTTTTGACTACTAGTGTGTTCTCTGTTGCAAACATTTGTAAAATTATAACAGTTTATGTATAACCATGCAGTTGATGTACTACTTCTTAGACACCCAGGGAACAGAGTCTGCACCCCAAGAGCTGCCCTGTGCCACAGCAATGCTGGTGACATCAGGGAGTGCTCCTGTGGAGAAGAAAATGCTGAATAACTCAGCTGCTTTGCACTGGATCAAAGGTAAATTAACAGTTTCTTAACAACAAAGAGAATGTTAGGGGCAAAGCAGATATCAAATTACTGTCACAATTTTATTTTTTTTTAAAAGAAAGCAGCTCTACCACCATTGTGCCTGCCTGTACTACTTTTAAAGTTAACTCGTTACTAAAACATTCACGCCCAAGGACCTAGCTGAGTGAAAAGGAAGGGTATGCTGAAGGTATAAAATTCTAAAAAGTAATGAGACTTCTATAATATTAGTAACAGTATGACAGCATGTGGGTTATACAATAGTGACATTAAGAAATCTTCTCAAAGAATTTGGGGCAGCTTTATGGGTGAGATTTGCTGTGCATTGCTACAAAAGCCACACAAAATGTCTGTGGTGCAGAGGCAGAGCATAGGCTGGCTAAGCTGGATTTGTCAGGGCAGTTGTGGATAGATTCTGGCGCATTTTACCTTCACAATATTCCTCAGTGGCATAGTCCCACGGGAGAATCGATGAACAAATACTGTTTCAATCAACCTTTTGATGTAGTGGAAAGAATGGCAGATACATGCCAAGCTAGAAACAGCAAAACAAAAGCATTTAAGAGTGCTTAAAAAAACCATGTGTGGCAAAACATTTGGAATAAGACTACAAGAAATACGGCTCAAGCCTGCCAATGGACTTACTTAACTACTGGGTGTGGACTTGATGTAAACCTCTCATCCAGTCCATAGACAAAAGTCATGCGGAAATAAAACACAAAATAGATGAACAATGGACCTGTATATTCTATCAAAAATACCTGCAAAAAGAGAGAAAATCATTAGACAGCTGAATTGATGATGGCTTTGCTTTGGTCTCTTTGTGATAACTAATGCAGTGGGATAAACACCTCCACACAGCCAGGATGGCATTAAGAGAGGCAGAGAGGGAGTTGAAGGTTTGGACTCAGCCTATGAAACTGGTAGCCATGCACATAAATATTTTGCAATTATTTGCCTCAGTTGCATTCAAACAGCCATTGCCAGTGCTGCAGACACAGTATGGGTATGAAAAGATAGCAATGGCAGCCCAGAGATCATGACAAATATGCATGCATGTTACACTTATGCAGCTCTCACCCTTCTCTTGCACTCAAAAGCTGTTGCTTTATTTTGGTTTAAAATGAAATTTGGTGAAGAATTTGTCTTGAGAAATAGGAGTTCTGCTTCTACTGAATGAATTTTGTTTAAACTGGAAACACAGCTTGTAAGTATTCACAGTGACCCCATCTGTGTGAACAGTTAGCACAGCAGTTGTCCTGGGAAACAATAATTTCATTCTATGTTCAAACAAGCTTTAATTGGAATACTAGAAGGAAAATAAAAAGAAAGGGGAAAAAAAAAGATAGGAAACCAGAGAAGCTATTTCTCTAATTTGATTTCATTCAGATAGGTGTGTCTTTCTTAGGAATATCACTTTAAATTGAAGTTAACTTTGGACCTAATATTAACAGCTGAATTTTCTACCCATCTATAAGTGAGGAAGGTAGGCCCATACCTCACTTACAGAAAAAGAAGAGAAATTGATTGTACTTCTGTCACAAACAAACAAAAACCCAACAAATATAGAGAGCAACAAAAAAATAAACCCAAACAATCCCAGTTCTCTAATGTATTTAGAGTTGTTTTGATACTTGGAAAAGTTGGGTTAATGACTTCTGTTAAGATCAGCATTTTCTCTGGTGAAGATCACGTTTGCTTGTAGATAAGAAGCTCATCTTTTTGATTTGATAATACTAAAGTATTTGTTGGTTTATATTTGAATGAAGTAGCTTGAAGGGCAGGGAGAGCAAATGATTATGAAATAGTAGAAGCCTGGGGTTACTCTGCCCTGTGATATTTTGGTGGATATTAATGCACGTGTGTCTTGAAGTCTACACTGCCATTAGAAGTTTTTGTCTGTCTTCCTGGTTTTTTGGATTGAGTAACAGCTGCTTGATTTATCAGCAGTGCATCCAAAGTAAAGATGTGAAGACTCAGTCTTGCAAAACATATTTGACTTTTTAAATTTTACCTTCTATTAACATTGTCTTTGGTATTTGTAATCAACACAAGGTTTTATTAATATCTCATAGCTAATAAATTGTAAATATGCCTTTAAATTATTAAGTACTTTTCCCTTGACATTGTGCTGTTTATTTGAACTAGTGTAATACTGTGCAGCAAGGACCTTCTAGAGAGCTAGAAGGGTCATTGGTCACCTCACTGCATAAACAGCAGTGCTGTGTTGCCTGCCAAGTGACTTGTGATAAAATTTGCATTTGAGCTAAGACAGTAAATATGCAAGGTCTTTGTGGATGGCTGCTAATATTGCAGAAATTATCTGCTGTCATTAGCCTGTCACTGGCATCCTGGGACACAGTCACACGCAGACAGCAACTAATCTCAAATTTTACGCATTTTCTTGCTGAAGTCACTTCAAGTAGTGACATGTGAAGTTGCTCCCATGCCTCTTTGCAGGACAAACTAAATGGAGTATAATCCTAATTTTGTCAGGAGTTACACAGGTCCTGTGGAGCAGATTGCCAAAGGCATTTACATACCTACTTCCTAATGATTTTGCAGTAGACATCCATTTGACAATCTGCATTTTAGTTCTGTAGAGCAAACCTACCCTGCAGCAGCTTTTCCACTGCTGCTCTCCCAGGAAACTAAATAGACATTCAATCTGTTACTGCTTTCCCTGATTAAATGAACTGAAGCAATGAGGATTCATTGCCTGCATCCACTATCAGAGCAGACATCATGCAGAAATATTGGAGAGAAACAAAAAGTGATGTAAGGATTAGCTGTGGAAAACTAGCCATTAAAATGGCTCAGACTTGAAGCAGAGCTCACCGTAGTCCATCCTATCTGTGGCCCTAAATCTTTAAAGTATAAGGTAGCAGTTGTGCCAACAGGGAGGTGCTGCAGGATTTCTTCATCCCTCAGGGACTTTCCTTCTGAGAAGGAAAGAAGTAATTACATCTTAGTGACATTCAAGTCCACTTTGGAAGCATAGTAGCTTTATATGGTTCTTTATCTATGAGACTCCTTGATATGATGTGGGTTTATTGGAATATCATTAAACAGAACAAGAATATTTACACTTAATTTTTATTTACCCCTGTAATCACATATAAGCCTGGATCCTCTATTCACATCAAAACAGTTGAAAGAATTCTCAATCCTATGTGCCTGTCTAGTCTAGTAGACTTTCTCATCACTGCCAACAGCCGAATTTTTTGATGGCAATGCCCTTTATCACAGTTCCCTGACCTCCCAGTCAGCTGCACCTCTCTCTCTCTTCCACTCTTCTCAATGCTCATCACCAGACAAACAGAAGAGAGGATAAGCTATGTTTAGAAAGCTCTCCTATGGAAATTTTCATTGCCTTTCTTTTCCCAAACAACCAGCTATGAGGTGATTCCACTGCACTTGAGCTTTTAATGCCTAGATTTGGAGGAATCTCCAGAAGGCCAGCATTTTCTCATGGCAAGTCTCACTACGTAAATTCATAGAGGAATCTGACAAGGGAGATCTTCAAACAAGGAAACAGATGCATCTGTTTTCCATGGATAGATTTTACACCATGAGCAAATCTTCACTACCATACTTTTAAGGGATTGTTTAAATAAACTTGTCCTTAATGAAAGCAAAGGAAGAAAGTGTTATATTTTAGCTAAGATGAATTAACACAGTTTGGCAATTAGACTTTCTTTTGTGGACTCAGGCCATGTAAGAGGCTTCTAGTAGCAATACCTACAAGTGTATTAATGAAGTCAGCCAGCTGTCATCAGCTTTGTCAGCAATTGCTATGTCCACAGCAATGTGTTCTGCATTGACTTCCCTCAAAAGAACTGTAATTCCTGCCTGAGAACTGAGGATTATGTGAACTGATAGCTCAAACTTGCAGCCCTTTTTGGTGATCCCAGCTGAGCATCATCATGGAGATCATTTGACTGCAGCTAAGGGCAGTGAGCATCTAAATCCTGTGCTGCCTCTCTGGAAAGCAACAGTGCTCAGCAGTCAGAAAGTGCATTGGAACAATGTGCAAACTCCTAAGTTAATTACCAAGCAACCAGGGTGTAACTGTGTTTCCTTCCAAAGAATTGTATTTGTTCTGGATTCTCATCAGCTTTCACAGTACTAATTAACATAGCTGGAAACAGATTCTCAAGTGCCAATACCCTTAAGTACACCTTTCATGCTAGGGCCCTGCTCAGTTTAGTTACTCCAGACCTCACAAGTACTTACTTGGATCAAGTTTTATTGACTGCCTTGCTGGGTACCACCGAGGATCTGTAAGACCATACAGAGTTGTGTGATATACAATGCTCAGTTTAGATCACCCATTACTATAATGAACACAATACAAGAAGATGAGCTTCGTTCATAGGTTTTTATAAATATTTATTCAACACTAATGTAGGTGATAATTATGCAGCAGAAAAAATACAAAGGTGTATCAGGATAGGATAAAATAATTTTACTGAAATCTCACTGTGATCACATTCGTGTGCAGGTTATCAGCATTATGTGTGCATACATTATATTTCAATTACGTATTTTTTCCTATTTATGTACTAGATATTCTGATGTGATGTGAGCTGCTGCAGAAGTTATACTCACATAATTTATGGAACATCAATCTGATCTCTCTAATTGTAGCATTTGGTTCCACCTAGGCAACAAAAAGACTGTAAATATAAGATGAATGTTTTGAAAGACAACTACTAGGTGTAAGACTATTAAGCCAAACAGAAATGTGACTTAGACAATGTAACTATTTTGTACACATGTCTAGCCTTGGCATGAAGGATTCAAAGAACTGACAGGAAAAAGGCAGGACAGTTTTTGACACCTGTTTCAGAGGCAGCTTCTCTAGCAGTGATCAAGTGTTACAGCAGTGACAATTTGATGGCTTCTGAGTACCAAACAGCAGGCACCACATCTTAGCAAAGCAACTCAGTAAAGGACAACTGAAGTGTCCTTTTTGCCCAAAAGCTCCTTCTGGAAAAGTGATGAAATACACTGTAGTCAGTATGAAGTTTGCATAATCATTACAAGTGGCCAAGGAAAGGCTACCAGAAGATGAAATACCCTTCATAAACACCATATTTACTTAAGAAAAGTTAGTAATTTCTTTAAAAGTCACCTAGTCTTTCAAGCAGATTTTTGTTTTACCTTATCTAGGAAGCATAGCTGTTTCTTTGTCTCCCAATCAAGGATTTCCACCTGAGAGGACACAAAATGATAATTAATCATTATTGGCTAAATAATGTGTAAACTCTTAGCTGATTCCCAAATTCATAATTAATGTGACTCTCAGAGTGGGACACCGTTTTTCTCTGATCTCTGAATTGAGTTAAAAACCTTCTTGATGTTCTCAAGAAACAGCTTCAATCACCAGTTTCCTAAGGCACTCAACTTGGGGGGGGGGAAGCCAAATGAATTGTATTCTTGGATATATTAAGTAGCAGAAGTAGCTAAGCGTCTGATCAAAAAAGTGCTCTTGGGTATTTTCTTATGCTAGAGCAAGTGGAACAAGTAAGGGGCAGAGAAGTTTCACAGGGATCACTAAGGAACAGTACTTCTGTGAGTCATAAAATTAGAGTTTGAGAAAAAAATTAAATGTATATATATGCATATAAGCAAATATTCTGAGTATATAAAGCTTGAAGATTATTGTGTATTGTTTCCAGAATATTTTAATTGCAAGGAGAGTGGAAAATATTGGTGGACATAATGAAAAAATGCAACTAAATATCTGGGCTTCACAAACACTTAAACATTTGTTATAGGAATAGTGTTACTCTTGCCTCTTAATCACTTGTTTTATTAATTACATATTAGCACTTCATATTCCAAGCAGAGGTTTAGCTACAGCTCTGAAAAGGAAAGAGCAGTTTATTTCCATGATCAAATGGCAGTTTGGCAAAATGTTATGATTTTATCAACAGACAAGCAGAAAAGTCCCCAGACATTCAAAGCTCCCTAGACATTGCAGCAGGTCCCTAAACCTCACTGCAGTTGTTGGGGTTTTTATATAAACATCTAGCATTAATTATGTTTGGTATTAACTGGCCAAGAGAATGGATTAATATCAGACTTTAAATATGATTCCTCACTAAAAATAGGAGTCACAGTCCAGTATCTTTCTCAGAGGGTTGCTTTGAAGAGATCGCTTGGTTGGAGTATCTTATTTCCTTGTTTCACTTGTTCCAAAGGGTTTCTTGTGGCACAGCAATGGAGCACTTCAGCTCCAGTCACACCTATCAAATCTGATCTCCACAAGGAACACTAATGCCATGGTGTGCTCTGCCTGTGCATTGTAAGCTCTGACTGGGACATTGAGGGAGATAAATGCTGTTCCTCTTTTGTGATACGTAGCAAGTATGTGATGGATTGTTAGGATATATTTTCCCTTGATTTTTTTTATATTTAAAATAACACATCTATGCAGTTTTAATCCTTGTTTGTGCGAAATCTCCATGGGAAAGCAAGTGAAGTGGATTCCTTTCCCAGAAGACTATTCTTGAAATACATCATACACTTGCAGTCCACAGAACAAGTACAGGGCAGAGAGGGGGCTGTACACCACATTTTGTCCCTCCTGATGCCAAGTTGCTACAAGGACTATTGAAATCTTTGGTGTATCTCAAAGTTCTTCTGTCAATGAGTACCATGGGCTACCCTGCAGACTGCAGAAGTACCTACACTTTTAGTGGTGTCCTTCCCATTCCATACCCAACCCAAATATATATATTTTTTATCAGAATCCCCCAGGGGCAGTTTTAATCTATGGCCTCCAGTGGTTGTATTAGAGAGATATTGTCCAGGTCAATTACAGTGGCTTTAGTATCTTTCTGCCACCTAAGGTATTTTAGTTGGGTTATTCTTGCTATGCACAAGACCAGACTGAAAATTACAGAGTTTTTCTTTTGCTCTGTGGTTTTCATGGGAGTGACTGTACAGTCAATCTCTGTGAACCTTTAGAATCAGTGTGGAAAACAAACAAATAAAGCTTGATTCTACTGTTATTTGGTTCTGTTCCAGTACAATTCTTTCAAATGCCAAACTGTCATACTTGGCTATACTGGTCCATGCAAATACCTAAAGGAAGCCTACAGAGATGATGGATCCAGCCTCTTCTTGGAGGTGCACAGAGATAATGGTGAGAGGGAATATGTCTGGATGCAGTAGGAGAAAATCCAGACAACAAGGAATTTTTTGCACCATGAGCTAGGCCAAATATGAGAAGTTGCTTAAAGAGGATGTGGAATCTCCATTCTTGGAGACATTTAAAGCTGGACTGGACAAGACCCAGTGCATTTGATCTTGCTGTATCTGCTTTGAACAGGAGTTTGACTGCATGATTTCCACAAGGCTCCTGCAACCTAAATTGCTCAGTTTCTTTTAATTTTTTTCCCACTTCAAACATTTAATTTACTTTCAATTACTTTCAAGATCTAAGCAAATATCAAACATTCTTTCCTTTTTCAGAAAGATGGATGCCAGAACACAGCTTTAGATTCCACTCCAGTCCATAGCAAATTGTGCAGCAACGGAGTGAAAGCAAGGTAACTGTTTCCTCTGACTATCACCCTCTTAGATTTATCAGAACATCCCCCAGTGTAGGTGTCTTTTCAGAAAGATGGATGCCAGATTTTAGATTCCACTCCAGTCCACAGCAAATTGTGCAGCAACGGAGTGAAAGCAAGGTAACTGTTTCCTCTGACTATCACCCTCTTAGATTTATCAGAACATCCCCCAGTGTAGGTGTTCCCTGCACAAAGAACAGAAAAGCCTGATCCAAAGGAAGAATTGGTAGTTCCTGAACATCCTGGCCAATCCCATGAAGCACCCTAGCACTGAACACAGTGTTTCCAGCCTTGAGGCACAGCACCAAGGCAGTTAATGCATTGGTTGGCAATAGTTTTTAGACACCCGGCAATCTGTTCTTGGAACACTTACTGATGGGTATCATCTCTTTTAAACATAAATTGTTTGGCTCAGCGAACTTCAATTTCATTGTGTTTTCAAAGCATTTAGCACAATAGAACACCAACTGTTGGCCTGAATTAGTGCAGTAAGACTTACAGTCCACTTATTTGGTGAATTTTTAAAGACATTTTAAACTACAGCTTCTCTGAGACTACCTAGAGTAGAACTTAATCAATAGGCAGATTTGTGCAAGATGTTGAAAACTCTTTTATAAACGACTACAAATATATATCTTTGATTAGAAGACAAATTTCTTCAATTGCATGAGGATTAAAGATCAATAGCATCATTAGTAAAAGAAAAAATCTTGATTATTAATGTTTAGAACACAAACAGGTTGAGGGAAAAGAATAATCAATACACAATATAAGCAAAGTATATTCAGCTGTTAAATTTTTATTCAGAAAATAAAAAGGTAAAATAAAAGTATTCATAAGGGAAAAACATCTGAGCAAAGTGTTTAAAAAGAGTTTTTAAGATGTAGTGTCTCTGTAATAGGATTACAAAAATATAGTTCACTTGAATTCTTGCAGTTTAAAGCCATAGCTAAAGTGCTAAAGGATCAATAGATCTTCAAAAATAATGTGATAACTATTATGGAAATGCTGACACATTTATCATGTCTGTGCATCTTAGAAGTTTAATTTGAAACCATTTGTAATCAGCAGATTGAGTAAACTTGAGTGAAACTTTATAAGCACTGACATAAGCACATATTGTATTGATTTCTTTTGAAATTACTCAGTTAAAAAAAATAAAAAGTTTATTTCACAGTATAGGAACCAACCAGTCTGAGAAAGAGCAATGCAGAATGAATTCTCCCTGAACTGTTGGAATGCTTACATAAATCAGTTTCTTTGAATTTAACTCTAAAAAACCAATCCAGTGGTTGCCACAGTCCTAACTGTGGCAAATTGAATCTTTCTAAACATTTTCCCTATAGAATTATTCATCTCATCATTATTTTCTTTATCTCCTCTGACTTTTCTGGTAGACTGTGTTGTTCCTGAAGGGAGTAAGCATGCCTTAGTGTGATCTCACATTAGGGCATATCAAGAATAGTTTCCTTCAAGTCAAGAGTTAAGCCAAAGGGAGATTGCTGTAAGTGTACTTACACTGAAAATTCTGTTTGTGCTGCTGCTTTACAATTGACTCTCAATCTGAAGCTTCTCTTGCACTGAAAGGTACAAACTGTAGCAGAGGATGGGTCTAAGGATCCATCTAGAATTGGTTTCTGAAACAGCCAGCAGCAGGTGACTCAGAAAGAGTAATAAATCAGGGCAAGAATGTAGTGACTGAGGGAAAGGGAAGAGACAGACAGTGATTTTGACTCTCCTGCTTCCTTCTTTTTGACTTCCTGACCAGAAGTGCTGCCTATGTATGTAATAAATTTTCATGGACTTCTTTCTTCAACTACCTTATACATTTGCCTTTTAAACCTGGTTAAAGAGTCCTGAGGCAGGGAGTCTCACAGCTTGGCCACATGCTATGGGAGAAACTCGCAAACCAGAACCAAGGCAAATGTTCACAAAGCAAAATTTCATCATCCTACCTGTGGAGTTCTAAACCTTATTCTCTAAGCAGTCCAGCTAAACAAATCCTTACCTCTGAAGCAATGGCTCGTATTTCTTGAGACTAGAATCTTATTGCATTATTTCACTGTGTATAATGACATACAGTGATGCCCATATTCAAATGGTTTTCTAAAATGAATTTTCACTTTTGCAGAGTTTACATGTCTAACATCTACAGGGTCACAAGAGATACTCTAGGTATTTACTCCTCAGCTTCCTAAGTTCTGCTATTCTGTAAGACAGTGAGCACCAGTGTTTGACCTGTGCTGACACTCTTACTGCATTTTTATTTCTTCCACCTGTTTCTGATTTGCTAGTTAGACATGCTCTCATCTAAATCCCCAAGGATATTGATCCAGTAAGCATCTTTATCCCAAGGTCAGCACAATGCACAGCATTTAGATTCTTTCTGAATTAAACTAAACTGTCACCAAAGGAGATTATCTAGTTCTTCATGCCTTACATGTAATAGTTAGACACACTGCCAGAAAGTGGGAAAATTGCTTTGGAATGTCTTTTTCCATTCCCCATTTCTCCCACAGGCAGACCAAAAAGTACAGGCAGGAGAGGAATTCAGTGAAAAGGGCTTTCTTCTACCAAAGAGAATGAGAGAGAAATTCAGGCTTTCTGGGCTCCTTTTATCACTGCTCCCTTCCATTGTAATTCTGTTCAGTATTTCTCTACAGCAGATGCCTTTTGGGATACCACACAGCAAAGAGATAAGAGTTGAAGTAAACATGGATACCCTGACCAAATTATCCTATCTAACCTTGGAGCTGGATGCCTAACCCAAAAACATTGCAAAACCCAAGTTGCTTTGTAGACCTGGGCCTGAGGATGATAACAGGTAGAGCTACAAATGCTCATCCTTGAGAAAGATTTGGATTCATTTATATAATTGACAGAGATAAAATGAGTCAGCATAAGAACAGTCAGGAAGGAAAAGGAAGGTCTATTTACTTGGGGTGGGAGGCTGATTTATTTTTCAAGAAAGGAAAAGTCGTTAAGGCCTTCACAGTGAATTCTGGCTCTTGAAAATGTACGAAAACTTTTCAGCTTTTACTACTATGAGATCTTTTAGGAGGATACACCAGATGAAAAGGAACCTCCATCAGTTCATACTGACTCAGTGCATATTTACTTAGGCTGGCTAACACAGAGCTGCATGTTGCCAATTTCCCAGGCGTACTGAAAAGTCACATCATTCACTGGGTATCACTGTCACTATGAAGCACATTGGAGTGCCTCCATCAGGGAACCTGAGCCAGCTTTGACTCAACGCTAAGTAGACATCCAGGCTTTCCAACACCACTGCATAGCCTTTTCCTTGTGTAAGAGAATATTCACTGCCTTGGGGATTTAGTTTATGGTTTTCTACAATGGCAATATTCAGGTAGAAGAGTTATACCAATTCTTTGTGAAATCACAATCATATCTTTGTATCAGCACTGTGATTTGCATTATCAAACTTCAGTATTTATACTTTCATTACTACTCTTTGTGCATAATTTGCTGTAGGGATGTCAAAATGTACATACAGTATATGCTTTTGACATGGAATTGAAGAAATTGAAGAGGGTTTTTTTTCTTTGTTTTTTACCTAGTAGCATCAAGGATGGGTCTGCTGTCTTGTGAAAGGAAGACTGCAAACCCTGGGAATTTTAGAGAGCTTATACAGACATGTGAATTTACAAAACTGGTGGTTTCTTTGGTTTTGTTTTTTTTTTTTTAAATATACTTCAAAGAAGCCAATTTTTTAGCTAATATAAAACTTTTCATTTCAAATGTAGCCTTCAAATTCTGAGTAGCTCCAGATACTTCCTGCCAATTAATGTTTTACTATCATCTTCTCCTATACAAAATTAAGTTTCTCGTTCAAGCTTCACAGAGAAAAAAGACAAATTGCTGTCTTCTAAGTAAAGCAGTACAACTGAATGTTGAGGTGTTGGTAAGTGTGTGGGAAAGTGGTGAGAGAAGAGTAAGGGATAATGTTTGCCCTGCCATCTCATCTCTTTCTGTGATAATAATCTTTAGTGTTACTTGTGAAAACAGAGCAGATGTCTTCAAACACCAGGGAAATTTTCAGGTGTCCCTTTAAATGACCGTTCAAATATCTCGTATGTGGCCTTGTCTTTCTGGCAATTCTTGGAGGATACAGCATCTTGAAATGTTCTGCAGTCCTGCTTTTAGCACTTGCTCTCAGTGCTCTTACTTGACAAGGCTTTAGACAGCATAGCTCTGAGAGAAGCCTTTGTAACAGGAGCTGTGACATCTCAGCCATGCCAGCCAGACAGCAGTCGCCACCCCCTTAGAGGGTTTTCATCATAGACAGAAGAGGAAGGGAACTTTAAATGCCAACGAGGGGGGCCAGTACATTATTGCTTTTAGACTGTACTGCACATGTCAGTTCAATCTATCATCAGGGAGTGAAGATTCCAAAACATTTTTGGGTATCGCTGCTCACAAAAGGCACTTATCATCCAAACTAATTAAGGAAGGAAAAGTATAACTGTGGCTCTTGTGACACTAATTTTCTACAGTATGAATATAGTTCAAGGCTTTTTGCTCTAGGAAGTCAGAACACCACACTATTTTCTTTATAGGAAATACTTTTGAAGACCTAAACCTGTCAAGTAAAAAGAAATTATACAATTCATTAGTCTAACTTCAGAGCTCTACTGGAGACATTTACATCTGAGCATCTCACATAGGCATCCTTCATATGGAAAGGAGGAAAAGAGGCACTGTTAGCATAAACAGTATCAGAAACTCAGAAACAAACCTCAAATAGGTCAGAAGAGTTTTTCTCTATGCAACTTAGAGAATTAACCACTCCTAAAGAACATTAATCTAGATATAAGTCTCTGTCATACATCTCTCAGTTTTGGAGTTGAATCTCCTCAAATTATCAGGTGCAGTGTTTTCAAGTATATGCATATTTATTTATAGTTGTCCTAGAGAAGCCTCTTCTGAACTATTAGTGATTTTAAAAATGAGGTGAAAGTAGAAACAAACCAATATCTGAAGTAAACAGAACAGTTTGGTGATTGTGAAGTGATTAGTGATTCTGATCAGGAAGTGACACAGAAAAACAGTAAAAAGTAAGTGGTTTATAAATGTGTAGGGGAAAGTACAAATTTATACAGTTCCTCAAAGAGGGAACCCTAAAGTTTGTAACAACAGTAGAGATTCTGCCTGCCCTCCCCAGGAAGTACTGAGAGAAGTGGAACACTCACCTTCTCTCTTTACATAGCTCAGCTTTGAATGTGTAGTGAAGAAATGCAACTCAGGGTTCAAAGTCAATGAATTTGCAACAGAAAACAAGTCAGGGAGAACAGTGCAGAAAGCAATATAGAACTGCACTGCTAGTGCTACTTAGGCAGTCTTTGTCCACATCCTACCCCTGAGACTGCTCACACACTGCATGAGCCGGGCAAATCTGTTTCCACCCATTATCTGCTACAAAAAGAAAAGGACTAAGACATACAAGGCTGACAAGTAAATTCATGAATCATGCTGGGTTTGCTTTAGTGTTGCTTAAACACAGGATCTTGATTTAGGACTCCAAAGACCTGGATCTCCTGCTATTGTCCTGCCTAGCGAGACTGAGCGGGTCATTCAACTTTTGTATGTTTTCCCCCTCTGCAAAATCAGGTAACAACAATGATGTCCGTGCTTTTGCGGTCTTCTAGTAACTAGTGCTCTTCAGGAGTTCAAATAAGTCTGAGACAGAAGAGCAAACCTGAAGTGACTAAAGGCAATCACAAGGGTATTACACATGTGCTTGCTCCTGCATTTGGATCTCACAACAGTTTGAGTTCTACCTCTCTGGTAGAAATCCACGGCAGTAAAAGCTTGGTTGTTTTTCCTAAAACAATCCTGTAAGTCAACACTGCTGAGGAAAAAGCATGGTGCAGGTGCCTATCTCACATCCAAAAGAGCTGTAGGCAGTTTATTTTGCTGAATTGTGATGTCTGGATCATTTTTTTATCTTTGAAAAGTAAAACCTGGAACTTTTAGGTCATGGTAAGTTACTAAAGGAGTAGACGATTTTCAGATGACTTTGGATTCTATTTGTGTTATAACAACAACTGCTTTGTAATTTGCATTTGAACAAGGAACATTCCTACTTCTGTGCATTTTTTTTTAGGTAAGTCGTGATTGTGTTTCTGCAGGCTTATACTTGGGTTTCTCATTCAGGATTGCAGTAATTTAGCTTGTACAGACCTGTTTTTGTAATACAAGCCACTCTTTAGATTTTTTTGTATTAGCCAGCCTAACTAATTCTAGCAAAGAGCTGTTTATGTAAGTGGATGAGATGTTACCCTTGAAGCTCCCCAGGTGCCCGTTACTCTGCGCTTTCTGTAAGCACAAGGAGCTGACTGTACCAAACTCCGCCCGGCCGTTTTTCATTCCCCACTCAAGATCGAGCGCTCCGTGCTCGCAGAGGGCCCTCGCCCGTATCCGCCGGGCAGTGGGCACCGCGCCGGGAGCCGTCCTCTGGGCCAGGGCACCAAGCCGCCCGCCGGCTCCCTGCCGCCAGCCCAGAGCCGGCCCGGGGCGCTGCCGCCCGCGGGCACGCCTGCAGCGGGCCGGGAGGCTGCGCGGGACGGCTGCCGGCGAGGTGCACAGCGGCCGGCGACGGGGCTTTCCGAGAAGTTGGGGACAGAAGGTGCCGAGAACATTCCTCGCTCTCGCCGTCTCCGTAGGGCTGGGACGCGCTGCCAGAGCCAGCGCAGGCTGCCGGCGGTGCTGCCCCAGGCAGGACCCGCGGGAAGCCCAGAGCCATTGATCCGGCGGTCGGGAAGCCCGGGGATTCCCCCCGCCCCGCTCTCCGGGAACACGTCCGAGGAACACCGGGGACGCGGGGACCAGGAACGGCGAGGGGAACGTGCCCGGGGAAGGAGAGGACGAGGCGGGCGGCAGCCGCTTTTGCTCCCTCGCCCCAGTAAAACCCCCGGGCAGCAGCGTGCCCCTCCGGGCCCCTCTGCCCGGCTCCGGCAGCGGTCACTTCCCTCGGCAGACTCGGGAGCGGATGGCTCCGGCTCCCCGTGCTTCAATGCAGATGGAGGGGGAAGAGAAAGCAGCCCGCCGGGATCCCGGGCAGCCCCGTCCACCGGCGGCAGGATGCTGCGGGACCTGGCCCGGGCTCGCCTCGCCTCGGCCGCCCCCCGCCCCCGGCGCCGCCCGCACCCACCTCGAAGAAGCCGGCTCTGCCGCCCATTCTGCGGGCACCGCCGCGCCGCCCCCGCC